CAGGTTCAAGTCCATCCTCAGCCACAGAGGCTTAGTGAGTGGCTTTTGCCTTCACACTGTCTCTCAGCCCACGTTCATCTCCGGGTTCTTGTAAGAAAAACTGAAACCTGGGTGCGTTTGTTAATGGCTGGATCCTAGATGTTCCAAAGAAGTGAAGTGGATGGGAGTGGCTGTTTTTTTTAGGTTTTGCATTTTCTGTTTTGTTAAACAAATGGACCTCTTTTAATTAATCTATACATGTCAAAATGAGATAGAGTAGGAACAAAGATCTTTATGGAGCGCAGGGACACCATCAGCCGGGAAGATGAGGAAAACCGTCTTCTATGGAAGCTGCCTCTTGGACATTTGCAGTCAGCTTTCCCAAACCCTGGCATCACATTCCCTGCTTCAGTCTTTCCAATGGCTTTATGTCAGACCTAAGCTCCATATATTAAAATTAAATTATAAATTTATAAATTATTAAATGTAATTTGAATAAGAATACTATGGCTTTGGTTCACCCAGTTACAGATATGAGACGTACCAAACACATTCACCATCTTCTTCACGTTTTTGGTCACTGGCCCCAGAGAGACTCTGCAGAGCAACTCATGTTCTCCAACTGAGGAAGGGATCACCACAGCCTGAGCACTTGCTACGCCCCCCGTCACCCTGGTGTTTAAGGTCAGAGGCATCCCTGCAAACCGCAGGTCAAACACGGCCTCTTCAGCCGGGGAAACCTCAGATGCATCACATGTCACGGTCATCTCGATCCCAGCTTCTAAGAACAGGCCAACGTGGAGCTGGGGAGTACCTGCAAAATCTGCCAAGGAAGTAAGGGAAACCATGCCAGTTATTGCAAATGAAATCACAGCCATGATGGTGCTCTCTCTCTAGCCTCTAAAGACAGTGAGTGCAGGAGCAATTGTAGGAAACATCAAGTCTATGCAAACAAAAATCAAAATAGTGGGATCAGCATAAATAGCTGGGCCTTTTTTTTTTTGGTATAAAAATAATCCCAAAAAACAAAAAATTCTTCTCACTGCCCCCCTCCCCCAACAAGGAATGATGCTCTTTAGTGACACAGTGCAGCGTGTCCTTAGCTGTGCGTTTAGACAAAGAGAAGGAACTTATAAATCAAAGCTTATAAACAATATCCAAATCAGAACTGGGGCAAAGGATGGGATCTCACCAAAAATCCTTAATATACTGTGGGAGGTGTTTTTCAGGAGAGGTCCTCTTGGTCTCAGATCCAGGGATGTTTGGCAGGTGACTGGTTTGTTGTGGTCATTTTGCTGAGCTATTATTCTATGCTTCACCACAACAGGACCCGCTTCAGGTGCAGTATGATCCTCAAAGGTCTTTACCAGAAGTTGCTCTGCCCCTTTCAACAAGGTCACAGTGAGGTTCCGGATGGGGGCTACACCAGAAACCCGGCACATCAAGTCATATAGCTTGCCCGCCTCCATTTCTGGCACTGGATTCAGTTCAACACTCTCTGGAGGTTCTGAAATAAATTAAAAAGTTCTAAATCAACTTAGTTTGATTAGCATATGCTAGAAGTGGTGAACAAGCAATAGCTTGGCTTTTCTGTTCTTTATTTTATGGAAGTAAAAATTTCCATATGCATGTTTGTAAATTTTCCTGTGTATCCTAGGTCAAAAATATGATCTCTACACACCTCTAAGGGGCAGTGAATGACATGCCTTAGCTTCCATCAAGTGAAACATCTTGTCTCTTGTCGTCTGATAGGTACCAAAAGACTGACTGATGAGAAATCCATTATTTTCAAGTGTAAGTCCTTCCTTTTTTGCATATCATGTCAAACCCAAGAAGCTAATGCAAAAGCTGGATTTACCACAACATGCTGAACGACACATTTCTCAAGGCAGTTTTAATAAGTTTCATGAACCAGGAACAGCTTTGCCTGGAGAGGAGAACCATTATTTGAGCAAAGGGCGGGTAGGAGATGTCCCTTCCCATCTGTGTGCAGACAGGGATATCTTCCTGCACCAAGATTAGCATTTGTGTGGTTAAAAGCAAAAGCTGCTCTTCGGCTGGGGAAGGTTTCCTCAAGCCAAACAGCAGAAGCCAGCCTGAGCTCAAGCCAAAGCAGCCACTACTTGGAGAACAGATTGAAATACAAAACATCAAGAATTCAAAGGCCTACAAATAAAAAGATGTTCAACTGGTGCCAAAAAACTTTTTCAATGTTCCTAAAATTAATTACTGAAACAGAATGCCATGTTCTTTCCTATGGCCTCCCGCACAGAGTGTTTGGCTAGATGGACCAACAGCTGGGTTCTGTAGGCAACGTCCTGTACCCAAAGGTCCTATGTCTGAACCATACCTTTAATTGGCACCCTAATACTTGCTTGGGTAAGCTGGTCTCTTCCTATTTGCTTACCCCAATTAGATAATTATTTCCAGCTTTTGCCTTAGCTAGGTGGCCGCATTCCTGCTAGACATTCAGTAATGTAGCCAATCCTCACTAATATGTAACCTTCCCCAGTATTTGACCACGTACTCTCCTGACTTATTTTCCTAAAGACTTAACAGTGTAAACTATGCAACCGTTATTGCCTACTTTATTTTCCCAAAAGGAACCCTGAAGGGGGGGAGGGGAAAAAGATTGAGGGGCTATAAAACTTGCCCACCAAAGCAGCCCCTCGAGGGTGGCTTGCCATGGTGCGCCCTTCCTGCCACTCTTCACACTGACTGCAACTGGTGAGGAACAGAACTCTCCTGCATAAGCATCCAGAATTGTTCAATAAAACTTGGTTAATCCAGCTTCTGTTGTCCATTACTCTTGGTTATCCGACCCACAGCCCCTTCAGCCAGCAGTGCTAAGGTCTGACTTTAGACTGAGCGACTCATTCTTTTTTCTGGCTTCCTGCTGAATTTGAATGGAGGGTATCGAAGGAAAGAGAGTCCCTTCTTAGGTGCCCAATATTTTTCACCTACTGCCACAGTCACCATATCACTTACTGTAAATAGTAATGGTTGCACTTGCAGGTTTTGGCTGGTGATCCCCGCAGTTAGCATAGCACAATGGGTCACTGACCCAGTCCCTGATGTCAGTGAGAAGGAAGGCTCTCCAGTTGGATCCAGTTCCATTGGGAACCTTCGTGAAGGCGGTCTCCAGACCAATCGTTTCACAACTGGCGCTGCAGTTTAGCACAAGAGAACCTCCAAATTCCACCACAGGATTTTCTGGCGAAATTCTCACGAAGCCTTCCTTTGTGGCTCCTGAAATCAACACAGATACCATTTGAAATATAAATAAAATACAAAACTTACTTAAAAATACAGTTATAAAAGGCAAGTATATTACAATTAGAGTGGGAAGGGCTGAAAAGCAATCTGATTTTCTAGGGTTAACTGTATTCATTATCCAGGGTTGCCTTGGCATAATGTGCAGCCATATCAATAGAAGAACATAAATGACATCTACCAGGCATTAGTGAATGTGGGTGAATAGAACAGACAGTAAAGCATAATATGGCATTCAGGTTGACAATCACTCTGTTAAGGTCGATTAGGCTTTTGAGGGTTATAAACAAATAGCTGTCAGGGGTTGGAGGAGGCCCAACACTGATCCCAAAACAAAGACAAGCTACTGCGGAGTCTGCAAGAATGCTGCCTCTGCCAAGTCAAGCCCAAGAGATTACAGCAGTATTTCTCAACCTCTGCAACTTTGAGATGGGTGGACTTCAACTCCCAGAATTCCCCAGTCAGCCATGCTGGCTGGGGGATTCTGGGAGTTGAAGTCCAATCTTAAAGTTGTCAAGGTTGAGAAACACTGGATTAGAGAGATGGAGACATGCTCAATGGCCAGCAAAAGCCCCTTGTGAATATGAAAGGTCAGGGTATGGGTAAACCAATTCTCAGTTAATCGTACCTAGCTGCTGTCTGAATTCTGAGCAAGGATTAGCACATACTTGCAAGCATACCTTTGCAGTTCTAAGAGGTAGAAATTTCCTACCTTTTCTTTATTATGAATTTCAGGAACCTGAGTCTGGTAAATTGCAGGAAATCATTCATATTTGTTCTAACTGCTTTGTAAGGGAGGAATTATACTCCCCTTGGGAAGGCAATCTAGGGGGCCAAGATCACAGCTGAGGAGGAGGCCTGCCTTTCCACAAATTTCAGTCCTTGCTGCTGCACTACTGGTACTCCAAAAGCATGGAAACCTTTAATCCAAAACTCTCGATTCCCTCTGACACATCTCCAGAAGAGAGGGAAAATTGACTGGATTTGAATAAGCCCAGATGGGTTTGGGATTTGACAGATCCCTCTCTCCCCTGAATTTGGTTCTCTAGCCATCAAAAGTATCGATCTGATCATCACAAGTATGTTTCATCAGTTCATCTAACATAGATGCCTCTACTCTTGAGTGCTTCAGCAGGAGTGTCCATGGGGGTGGGGTGGGGTGCCAAAAAAGTCAAGATGGCAGCCATGGCCGTGCAATCAAAGCCTCACTTCTTTTTTACATGTATCATGGCACTGGCTGGGAATTCTGGACATAGCCATCTCCACACATCAGAGTGATGGCAGATTAGAGAAAGCAGATCTGATCATTCAACAAAAAAGTTGCAGGCCAAATCTTTTAGCTTAGAGGTTGTTGAAATCTTCTGTTCCTATACTTCCTCGAGGTGTTGCCTCTTATGATACCTGGGAGTCACACTCACTGAATCACTCAGTTGTATGTGCTCAGAGGTGACTTACAAGCTGTTTGAAGTTTCTTTTTTCCTTTGCATAATGACTCATAGATTTGCTTTACCAACCACCTGTCTGTCTAGGATTAATGGCCACTCCTTTTCTTACCAGTGTTAAAAGAAATGTAGCCCCTTTCCAGATAACTGAGGAGAAGAATGTTCACTTAAAGAAACCCTTGAGTTACTATGTTCCAATTCTCAGCATGGTTGCTGGCCTCCTAAGCCGACTGATCACCTGGAACCAACATGCAAAGGACTATGAGATGTCTTATCTATGCTGAAACGTGAGGTTTTTGTCCTCCAGCATGCCCCAGTCTGAATAACCTCCAAAGGAAAAAAGTGTGACCAACACACAACTGAAATGCATTTCAGCAGGGTCTACAAGCTGGGTCGCTTTGTTTCATATGAATTCTCCAGAGTTCACATAAGCAACTGCTGATATTAATACTACATTGTTTATTTTTCTAAATTAAGCCACTCTATGTAACACTAGAGAGGAATGTCTGTTCTTCCCCCACCAAAGTCTCCCTTCACAACCTTTGCATTATTTTCTGAATCAATGAAGTCCAACAGTGTGTTTAAACAGACAAATCTAACTTTCATCTACAAGTCAACACAAGCATGCATTGGGAATACTGAGAAAAAAGTCCGCTTGACTGATGAGTTAAAACCCTCTGAAAACTGCGAGTTAGGGCATTGTCCATGTGATCAGATGCTCTCTACTCTGGCAGTCATCCCTCCAGGGGGGTTGGAGGAGATATCTCATTCCCCTCCCCCCAGATGTCTGGGCCAGCACTCAAAGGATGGGACTATGCACGGAACAACTGCCCTACTCTGTCCTTCAGTTAGCCAGCTCAGCCTGTGACAAAAATCTGTACCTTGCCTTCACAAAGAATGTGGCTGCCCAAAAATATTCAGCCCACCCTGTTTTCACAGGAGATCAAATGCAAGGAGGTGGACATTTGAGTGTTCTGGGGTTGATGGGTGAGACCTCTTGTTTGTTTCCTTCTAACCAGTTGATTTCCGTGTGCTAGAGTTCAGAGAAGGTGTGTCAGAAGAAACTTTCCTTATCAAAGCTTTAGGTCATGCAAATAATTAAAAAGCCAGAGGGAAGGAATCTTAAGGCAGACAATCTGCAATTGCTGTCTCAGAAACTGATTTGCGGAATTACCTAATTTTTTAATATTAAAAAATTCCATTCCCATCCTTCTCCAGGAATAGACAGAGGGAAAAGAAGAACATTATAGCCTTATAGTAACAAGTTAACATGAGAGGTGTGTGTGCGTGTGTGTGTGCACACCTTGCTTGGACTAGGGCTTGCAGTTTTCTTGGCAAAGCTTCCATTGCCTCCATCCTAGGGCTGAGAAAGAGGGACTGGCCCAAGGTCACCCAGCTGGTTTCTGGCTAAAGCAGGACTAGAACTCACATTCCCCCAATTTCTAGCCTGATGCTTTAACCACTACACCAAACTGCCTCTGTAGTGTATGGTTTAAGTAAGACTTAAATGGCACTGGGGTTGATCTGAGTTCAACCTCATCTATTCATTTCCAGTGCCAATTCTTAGACATATAAAGTACCTCTGCAGAATGAATTAAGGGTACAGAAAAGCTTTCGGACCAGAACCCGCTTTTCCCCGACAGATCCGGGGAGGTAGAGGACGCAGGCGGGCAATTTCCCTCCTCATCCAAACCGTACAGATTCCACGTTCCATCTGTGGCAGACCACCCCTTCGAACGAATCGTTGAGAGTTTGGGGGAAGATTTTGAGAAAAACCTACCGCCGCCCTTACCTTTTTCAGAAGCCCAGGAGCCCAAGGCAAGGAGGAAAAAGATGCGAACCTGCTGCATGCTGATCGAGGCGAAACTCAGACTTAGGGAAAGGCGTCTGCTCCGGAGGCGATCCGAATATATCCAAGTGGCCGAAGACAATATATTGTAATCCTGGTTGGCGCCGCTAGAGATACGCACCGCCCGGCGCGCGAGCCGTTTTGCCCGACTCAGGCGTGCGGCTCTGATTTAATACAGATTCCAGGAAACGCCTCTTCTTCCCCAGCAGCACCCACGAGGGACACGGGAAAGCCCCGATCGATTTATCCCCTCAGCGCGCGGCTGGGGAAAGTTCCAGCCATTGTGACACCCTCCCGCGAGGCGCTGCCCCGCCCCCGCCAGCAGGACCATCGGCGCGAATGAATGAGGCCGAGTTGGAGGGAGCCCGCTCAGCTCTTGACAGAAGGTGCCCGTCGAGCCCTGCGCTTCAAGCCACCCGATTTGCTCGGAGGGAACTCCGGAAGTGGTGAAGGGAGAGCATGTGCGATCACAGCTACAGATCGAGCGACCCGTTCGTTGGCTTTCCTTCGCCTCGCCCGTCCCAGATGAGTCAAAAGGGGGCTTAATTTAAGGGGAGACTGCGGCTCACCTCGACACTGTCCCTGCAAAAGGGCTGTGCCAGAAGGCCTGGGGGCTCGCACCAGTGGAGGCGGCTTGTGGGGTAATTGACCTTGCCCCCCCCCCCGTCATCTTGAATGTTTTTAGTATTTATGTTCAGGGTTTGTTGTTTAGATTTTTTAATGGATTATTTGTTTAACTATTTATGGGGGGATTTTTAATTGTGGATGGGGTTTCTGGCTTTAATTGTGAGCAGCCCAGAGTCACCCGTTGGGAGGAGATGGGCAGCATACAACTTTAATAATTAATAAATATAAATAAATAAATAAATAAATAAATAAATAAATAAATAA